GTCTTGATATCATTCCAAACTAGCAAAGCAATACTTGTAGGAAGAGATACCCATGCCTTCTCTAAACAATGTGAATTCATCATAAAAGGTAGCCTCAACATAATGTGTTTTAATTTGATCAAAGGGTAATGCATTGGCAAGAATACAAAAAACCTTTACATACAGGTTGCCTTCGATACATTGATGGTAAGTTAATAGAATATTCTTGTGTTAATGTGGTTATGGCCATCATAGCAACATAGATAAAGGACTACTTAAATTGATACCATGTCAATGATCAAATAGACCCAACTTTTAATTTAGGTTAGATGTATCCAATGGTATGCTCATTCTTGTTACTATTGGGGTGTTTTTATCAAAACAGGGTCAAATGACCACATGATAAACTTTATGAAACACATACAGATATAACTGTTAGGGATGGATTCATTGAGAAATATAACTTGGAAAGTGAGTGAAAATGTGAGCATCACTCCCAAGCTTTGGCGATGCTCATCAATGAGGTTAATGTTGTTGAAAGATTGGGTTTATTAGTTATGCAACTCAATAAAAAAAGATCCCAAGTGTTAGAACCTCCACAGCATAAGGATTAAGGCATGATCAATACTATACCATATTATTAAATTGCCATGTGGCATGACTAGTGACAAACTCAACATAATGATATAGTGACCAAAGTTGGTAAGTGCCAATCCATCAACAATATAACAAAGGCATAGCCAGTGCCATGTTTACCAATATGCTATCCAATTAATGATCTTGTTACTCAATGTATAACAACTTTGATCATGAATGAGGTTAATGTAGTTGCACTCTTGTTATCGCTTTATTAAAGGATGGTCCATCTTTTTGACGAACTTATATGGTTGGAAGGAGTCACTTCCTTCTAAAGCTAAGTACTTTATTTGCACTAGTGAGAATTTTGAGATAATCCATTGTTCGTAATTGACAAGGACTTTAAAGAAGCTAAGTTTCTTGTTTACAAAGAGGAAAAATTTTAAATAATTAAGCATGTTATCCACAAACGATAGAGATTATAAGATAATTAAGTCTATTATTTGTAATTGATAGGAGAGCTTTAAGAGATATAGGTCTATTATTCATAATGGCAGGGAATTTGAGATAGCTAATTCTATTAGTTGTATTGATAAGGACTTTAAGAGAGATAAGGTCATTAATCTATAAATAACTAGGACTTCACATCTATGTCACTTTGTTAAAGAGTAGTCCTAGGTCATCCTATTAAGTACCACACTACCATGCACGAGCGACCACTAAAGGGTGGTTTGTCTTTTTCACTAGTTTTACATCGCAAAGAGTCAATTCCTTCTAAAACACAATTTTTTTACCCAAAATAGTGGAGACCTTAATCTATTTTTGCAATGGTGGAGACCACTTGATAAAAGAAATGAGTCCTTTATTTACATTAGTAATGACTTTGGAATAATGTTAATGTATTTCCTTTTTGTCAAAGAAATCAAGTATTTTGTCCAAATTAGTGAGGATTTTGGGATTATCTCAATGCATCACCCCTTTGTTAAACAAATTAAGTTCTTCAGCTGCCTTCATGAGGACTTAAAGGTATGTCAATATATTAGTCTCTTATTAAGGAATGTAAAAGGTATCATACCATTAACATCCGTCAATGGCATGTTACCGAACTTGTCCATCAATAAGCTACCATCATAATGTTTGTACTACAAGTGGATTTGGCATGCTTTGGCAATATAATAGGGGTGCTTGTTACTAGGTGGATTTTTGTCAAATATGAAAAAAAAAGGGGTGATATGGATCTACCTTTGACTTTAATTAAATGATATGTTAATGTAAACAATGTTGTGGGCCTTGAATTAGCTGTTAAAGAAATTACCCTTAATAATTGCCAAAGCCTATAATGTTGACAAAAATCCTTTGTTGATTTTTATTAACCTTTTGTTGGAAATTATAATAGTTATGATAATGTTTAATAGTGTAAAGTTGAGAAAAGAACAAGTATCAATAAGAGCACTTCTAATATTTACAAAGTTGATTTGGTTTGACAAATAAAATGGCTTTTTATGGTCTAGAAATGACATTTCCATTTCTTCATCCATAAAGGTGATAGCATTAGCGGACTTAAGGTAAGCATGGTGAGCATGTGCTTCAACATTGAGGCATTCCCCCTTAATTTTGTTTGAAATGGACATAATTGCCTTCATGGCTCTTCGTCATGCCTCAAATGTAAGCCCTCATTGGTCGAACAAGGATCTAAATTTTAGTATCTATTACAAAGCACAGAAGAGTGGTTCTGTACATCTTTAGAAAATTGTATAGTTAGAGTGTTTGTCCCAAAACTTTGCATACGAGTTATAATATTGACAACCCTTTGGTTGTGGCATGTAAAAGGATCTTTATCCACCCTTTGTCTCTTGTTTAAGACACTTAGCATTCCCTTTACAACTCAACAATTATATATACTTTTTGTAAAGCATAACATTCCATGGTTTCATGATGCACATAAAAATAATATCGAATATCTCAAGTTACGTTTGTGATAAAAAAAATTAGCTTAAGAAGAACTTGCGGTAATACAACAACATTGTCAACTATCTTTTGATCCAAGAGTATTCCAACTTCTTTTAAAAAGAGACAAGTAGGTAGTTGCGGTATATCTTGTCACCTCATTTTCTAGCCATGTTCTTACCCATAGACAAAGACATTTAAGGTGTGAGTTATATAACTTTCTTTTTTACCCCTTGACTATAAAATTATTGTTGGTGGTAGCTTCAATTTTTTATGGTTGTCCTTCTAGCAACATCAAGTAGCCTTGCAAATTGATTGTGGTACCTCAAAATTTTTTAGTACTTTATTAGTTATTAATCTTTACTTAAGGACTTGATTAGAATAAACAAAAGTTTTGAATAATAGATATATAAGAATTTTTGGGATGACTTACACTAAAAGAAGAGAAAAGTTTAGGACTTAGTGGAATAAAATTAATTCTAAAATTGAATCAGTAGAATTTCTACCCATTGGCAATGCATAACCCTAATTTTTTTATCATGCAAAACATCCCTAACCTTTCCTCAAAGCTTTCTTATTCCTCTAATATTTGAATATGAAACTCAATTACCTCCCTATTAGACCTAACTTCCCTGTGGTGACGCATACATTGTCCAGCTAAAATGTATGAAAGTATGTAAAGGCTAATTCATGATCTATTAGCATTAAAGGATGGATTTGTGCTTGATTATCTCATGAGAATTTCAAGACAAATTCATTCATGGATACTTGATATTTTTATAAGAAATATATGGCAAGAAGTTAGGAAATTCAAGATATTAGTAGATTAATATTATATTGAAGACGACCAATTTTCATATTTAAGAAAATGTGAATTTTGGTCCATAAGGATTAATTAATGAATTTAAATTAGTGATATATTACTTGAATTGGCTAAGAGGTTCGTTATGATTAATTTTTAGGATATATTTGTTCTTTATCTGTGTTTTGAATAATTCAATTGTTATTTTTTGGTCAAATGGGTAAAATAATTATTTAGTTATATTTAAGCTTGAAAGAAAACATTTCATATATAAATAAACATTTAATTTTTGTAGTTGGATTTAAAATCAAATAAATACTTGTTGGTTGAAATATCTAAATCTTAGATAAATACATGAACCCATGTAAATAAGTGCATAATATGTTGATGTAGTATTTTTTTTTGTTTAATATTATCCCTATTTTCTACATAAAATAAATAATTCTAACATTTGATGAATTTGATCATTTTCTATATATTTTTAATTTCTAAAAATTTAGTTTTTGTCAACCTTAATTTTTCTTATGCTAATTAAATATCACTCTAAAATTATAATTTAATTTATATAAAATATTAAAATAATGAGTTTCAACCTGTTCTATAAAATTTTACAAAATTTTAAGTGAACTCCCTCTAATAAAACAACATCATTGCATGTTGAAAGGCCGTTTTCTCTCTTTTCATCCTCTTCTTCCCTATCCTTCCTTTGTAGGCCTAGTTTTTTTATGGAATCAATCAAAGACCTAGTTTTTTGATATTATATATATGGAATGGGAATCAAATGGGTGTTGTTTAATGGCTTTTAACCTTAGCAAGATAGAGTCCCCAATTCATTTGATTCAATGGTAAATCAAAAGAAAAATTAATTGAAAAGAAAATCTAAAGAAAAATTTTTAATAAGTTAGAAATGAGTTTTACTTCATTTAAGTTTGACTTTCTTTTTTCTTTTTTTTTTTTTGAATTGGTTTAAATTGTATTACCTCAGATTTTAATTTCATTAGATTGGGTCATTTCGAATTTTGAGTTAAAAGAGTAAACTTATCACTCATGCACATCAATTTTGGATTAGATTGGGTAGACCAAACTTTTTAAGGAATTAAAATTAAAAATTTTTAATATTTTATCTATTTTTATCTCTCTTTTTTTATTAAAAAAGATTAATATTAATTAATTATTTGGTAAAACTAATCTATTAAATTAATATTAGCTCTAATAATCTAATCAATAATAACTATTTTATAGAATTTAATTTAATTTTATATTTTAAAATTAAAATTATAAGTATAATTAATCAAAATTTTAAATTTAAAAATTTAATTAATTTTAGTCAAGTTACTTCGGGTTAACCCAACCTAATCCTGACCAAACCCAATCAAATTCAGATAATTTCAGTTTGTGTCATCGGATTCCAAATTAATACCTTGTAACCATGAATCTATCCATAATAGATGGACTAGGTTAGATCTTCGAATTCCAAATTAATACCTTATAACTATGAATCTATCCATAATAGATGGACTAGGTTAGATCTTCGAATTAGATCCAATTTTTCCAAGTTTAAGCTCTCACTAACACAAAGGAAAAACAATATTTTTTTCATATCTATGTATACATTATTTCATCAAGTTACTGTCAATTTCTTTCTTTTTATAAATATGTGTAATTTGATCTAATCTTCTCATTGATTGTATGTTGTTGTCGATATACAACTTTGTTCAAGTCTTTGTTTGATGAAGGGAATTCAATTGAAAAAGGAAAAATACGGAAAAAGAGGATGAAAGGCGAGAAAAAGGCTTTTAGATGGAAAATGACATCACTTCATCAAAGGGAGTTCGTCTAAAATTTTGTAGGACAAGTTGATACCCATTATTTTGTAAAAATACATATTTCTAATGGTAAATCTAAAATAGTACAAGAAAAATTTTGATACTCAATACATATTATTTCAATAGTAAAATTGTAAAATTGATACATATATCGATACAATATTAACAACCTTGCATGTTAGTCCCTTAAACAACATGTAATATTGCATTAAGTGTATATTTTTCAAATTATAAAATCATGTTAATCTATAAAATATAGCTTGATAATACTTAATCATAAAGCACATTGAAAATTAATGTTAGTTTTGAATCTACATATATTATTAGATATCTTAAAATTGATTGTTGATATTTTTACAACAGAATTTGTTAATTGTCAATTTAAAACAATCATGTTCATAGCATTAGGTAAAAAGAATTGGAAAACTAAGAAAAACCTTAAGATGCATCACTCAAGATCTTCAAACAAGTTGATATAAATTAGAATTTCAAAATTTTGTTCTATTAATTTATTGGATGCATCCACTAATGTAATGAAAGTAAGTAAATCACATATTTAACCTTTAAATACTCCTACTCATGTATTTACATGCCAGCAGCATGACAAAACAATTGGTTTTAAGGATATAAATCCAAAAATGAAGTGAAAACATAAGCAAAATGTTAGAATTATGAAATCATAAATACTTTTGAAAGTTCTTAAGGAAATAACTTTAGAAGAGGTTTATATACATAAAAATAATGAGAAAATTGAAATTATAAACAATGGTAAGATTTCTATGAATTATGGTTCTTCTAGAATTAATGGAATCAAAATGAAGTTACCATTGGTAATATTTTTTTGCACATGCATGAGTGAGAGTTAAGGAAAATGAGGATTTTAGATTAAAATTTGTTAAAGAATGTCCACAAAGAAATTATTGGCTAATTTGAAAGGAGATAATCCAAATATAATTAAAATCACAAAAATAATGTAAAGTTCTAGGATCAATAGTCAAAATGTATAATGATATAAATTAACATGCTACAAGTGATATTTTTGAAAATATATAATAAATACAAATTGAAACTTGTTGCATAAAAATTTATAAAGAACCTAAAATTGGTTACGAAAAGACATTATCTTATTATAGATTTTATTATCATCATATATTTTTTAGAGGTCTTTAAAGGACTTTAAATTAATGTATTTTATAGATAGTTATATTTATAGGAAAGACTTTATAGGATATAAGAAGTTTGTAACTTAAAAGGCTTGAAGTATATAACTCAAAGTTAAGAGCAATATCTTTTTAGTAAAATTATATGAATTTTGTATTAACAGATGTAAAAGAATAAGAAAATAATTGGTACATACTTAGTTTAATATACTTTCAAACACTTGTTTCAATTCAGTTGTTACAATATAATATAAGTATAATCCTATATATTATATATGCATAACTGAATTTTTAAATTTATTTATTTTTAATTTCACATTAAAAAACAGTGATGTTTTAATAAAAATATTATGCATTGTGTTTAATTAAAGTATATATCAAATTGTGTATAAAAAATAATAAATGTGGTATAGTTATCCTAAAATATAACTTCTAAAAGAATGATTTGAAAATATCATGTTGCTATATATATTTCTATTATTGCAAAATATACAAATGATTTAAATATCATTACAACTCTTAAAGAGTTCAAATAAAATAATAACATGTTCTAAAGAGTGACTATGAAAAGAAAAATATCAAAATAATTAAATTTTGACACAATCAATAAAACAAGTACTATCAAATTTGATTTTTATCATCAATCAATCAATAAGCAAATAATTTTATAGTATTTCAACATTGATAAAACTCATTCTTTAAGCTCACAAACTATAAAATTAGGAATGCTAAATAATAAGGAAAAATTCTATAATGTGTCAAAGGTAGCATAAATCAAGAAATGCAAAAAAATTAACATGTGACGTCCTTTTTCTAAATGGTTTCTTTATTATATACATGATTTTCATGAATTTTGATAAAAAATGTAAAAGTGAACAAGTGAGTTTGGATTGTTGGATTTCAAGGGGAAAGAGAGGAGTAAGAAGAGGTTTATTAACTGCTTTGTTTGAGTAAGTTTGTTATAATAGGCAAAGGTGATGGAGTCCATCATTCTAATACCTCTAAATTGAGAGAGATTGAGATTTATTGGTTCACAGTTGAATTATTTTTTTATTTTTTAAAAATAAATATATATAAATATTTTATTTTAATTATTTATTATTTAATTAATAAAAGTATAAAATTTTATTCTATTTCATTTTGTTTTTAAAATTATTTAATAAATAAAAAATTTATGCCAATTCTTCTTCTCCCTTCCCTTTTTAATTTTGATAATTTTGAAGTTGAGGGGCAATTTTTTTATAAATCTAAAAGTTGAAGGACCAACTGAGGTATTTAAACTTTTTAAAATTTCTCCCTCCCCTTTTATTTGTTTTCCTATACTAACTTTAATCCAAAGATACCTTTAACAATCGAAACTCAAAGTCACAATAGTAAAGAAACTTAAAAAATTCATGTGAGATTCATAGACCCAACCATAAAATTAGGTTCTGTAGCAGCTGCCCCAACCCAAACCTGGTTTTTCCTACGGAGAACACGATTCAGAGGAGGTAATGTTCAGGTGATTATGATATTTCATTGAGATATCCTACGCACTTTTACATGTAGCTGAACTGTAATTTGTTACAGAAATTCAAATACAAAATTTAAACTAGGTTACTTATAAGTGGATAAGTGTAGTCCAAATATAACAAAATTTTGAACTTAATTCTATTTCAAATAGCATGATCTATCATTTCCCACACAGATAGACCCATTTGAGAAATAAATTCCTGAGATTTAAAGAAGCTTTTTCTATTTCCTTCAGAAATGTGATGCTACTGTCTGCTATCTACTGCTTCCTTCGTCTCCTTGCATTTTTTATGGAACTATTTTTGTAGCCTGAAAATTGACTGCAAATTTGGTAGAGGAAGAAAAATAGCAGCTGAGAAAAGGGTGGTTTTCTATTTCCAGGTAAGAAAGTGCATTTGCTGATTTGCTCGTCATAAAAACACAGAAAGATGATAAAAAAAGAAATGCAGACACACACATATTATATTACAATCAGCAGGCTGGTATTATGGACGGACCTTGGTTAAAAAGCTTACCATTTAACCAGAGTAATGCCCTGTTGTTATCTTGATCTTCCATTTAACTGTTCTGGAGGTGGGAGGCTATACAGGGATTTCAGCTGCCTGCTTACTAATTTGCTGCTATTGAGAGCAAGTTGAAGATCCAGATCATCAGACCACCATTGCTCCAACCCATGAGCCTCAAGAAACTTCTGATTTCCTTTAGACTTTACAAACAGCTTTGCAGCAACTTGTCCGTTTGTAGGACCAACGTTCTCCTTGTTGGCATTGTTTGCCTCTCCTCCTTCAGGATCCGTATAGTGGCAACAAATATAGTCACTGTTGTTCACATATAAGTGAGGCACCCATTTTTTCAATTCTGCATGAGCTTTCTCACCATTAAAATGGGGCACCCAGTTCTTTAAATCTAAATAACTCGCCTTCTGCCCCTCTTTGTTATTTGCCTGAGTCTCACTGCTTGAAGGAAGCATCGATTTAAATCTCTTCCAAACAACCCCAGCTTTTTCTCCTATATTTCTAAAGCTCATAGCAAGGGAAATAGAGGGTGGGTTGAACAAATGGGCATCAATACATATTCCTTCTTTTGCTAATGCTTTTCCCACTTGGAGAGCAAAGCCAGCTCCTAAGGAATGCCCTGCAACACACACATTGTTGCTTCCATACCTCTCAGCCACAGATTTTAATGCCTCCAGTGCAACTTTAAATCTGACAGAACCTTTCAAACTTTCCCAAGCTAGAAATCGAAGGTCATCTTCAATATCCCTCCTGATTGTTGGACCTTTAAGTACTGTTCCTCGAAGTGCTAAAACGGCCCTTGGTGCTCCACTTGGTCTAACCAGTATAAAGTCTGCCAGGGCTGATGACCTATCCCATTCTAGTACTGCTCCAAATATGGATCCATCTCTTCCATCAATCAATGTTTGGGTCAGCTTGTACTTGAATGGCATCCACCATTTTGGAGCAAGAGCATTTTCCTCTTTTCTGTTCTCTTGCCTGTCCAATTCAAGTAAGTAAACTGCCTGTATGAAGCAGGCAATTACAGTTCTCTTATAGTTTGCATCTTTCCTGTATTACAAATCTTCCATTAGCATAAAAATTCGGTTTTATTATCCATCTAAGACTATTAAATCAAAAAAGTTCCATGGCTTTTCTTAATTGTAGGCAAATGAGCATACATTGAATGATCAAGAAAGTCTGCTCCATTTGATGAATTAGGCTAAAAAGAAAAAGACAATATTACCAAAGAGAAAAATTTCGAGTAAAATAGGTTTTCCTATAAAATTAAAGATGAAAATTTGAAATAAATAATCAAGAACCCAAATATTAGGATGTTTCCATACAGACACTGTCCGACTATGTGTTATATCTATATAAGGAAAAATACATTTCTAAGGAACGCATGTGCAGCACCCAAAATAGTGGGAAAAGAAATGAGAAACAGGGGAGAGAAAAATAATGGAAAAACATGAAGAGAAGGATAGAAAATGAATCACAATGAATAGATGAAGCTCCAGCAACTAAAAGTTAAACAATACTTTAAGCAGCAACTATTTATGCCTTTGTGTAGTATGTGAAAATTGAAACTAACTTATCTAAAATGTACAGCTGGAGTCTGAAGAAAGAAATGTTAGCCAAGACATCATGCTACTTAAATTCCTTTAGATGCCCTAGACATCTTAGATAACAGGAAGTCATCTTCCCAAATCTAAATAAAAAATATCCAAACCAACCAGGCCTCGTCTCTTGCTTGGTCTAGTTCCCCCATTGCCAACCGAACCCAAGCAAGTAGCCTGAAAACCCAATAACTAAATGTCATGCTCAAAATCCTAATTCAAATCACTTACCATATACAACCTTAGGTCTGACATTAAATGCATGTGTAAATCCCAGTGCTTCATTCAAAGGCTCCAGGAGTTTTTTGACGATCAAACATAAAATCCATTGATAAACCCACTTATTGCCATAGATTTTACAGATCTCTGCAACACATAATCAGCCACCACTTTCCAAGTTTGAACTTAGAAGGTATTTTGCTCTATTATATTGCTTTTGGGTTCATTCTTCAATTACTCTCAGATCAAACCCTTACAAACTAATTAGGTTTCATCTCCTGCTTGGTTTATTTGCCACATTACTGACTGAACCCAAGCAAGTAGTATGAAAACCCAATAACTAAATGTCATGTTCAAAATCCTAATTTTCCATCATGCTGCCTATATTTACTTTATTGGGGTTGCTTGTTGTGGACAGTTGACTAGCATAATTCAAATCACTTATCATATACAACCTTAGGTGTGACATTAAATGCGTGTGTAAATCCCAGAGCTTCATTCAAAGGCTCCTGATCTGTTTTGATGATCAAACATAAAGTCTATTGATAAACCCACTTATTACCGTAGATTGCACAGATCTCTGCAATACATAATCAGCCAGATACCACTTTCCAAGTTTGAACTTCGAAGGTATTTTGATCTATTATATTGCTTTTGAGATCATACTTTAATTACTCTCACATCAAAACCCTGCACATCGCCAATATTCTTTATATCAAATAACTGAAAGAATGGTCCAATCTGGTCAGAAAAATTCAATTTACCAATGCAATCTTGGAAAAGAAATAATGGGTTCAGCCAAATTTCCAATGACAATCCACCAGCATTAAAACCCATGTTGCTAAGAACAAAAATTGACAAAATCCCATTGAATGTGAGCAAAAAAGGTAGGTAAAACAAATTCAACTTCCTTCATTAGCGGAAATTCATAGAAGCAAATAGGCCAATCAAATACCCATGAACATTCAGCAACTAATAAACCCAGAAACAGAAAGATCAAATAGTAAGAGGAATAAGTTAAAATCGACCAAAATCCAAAAGATTAAAAAAAAAAAAAATCGATAATAAGTTACTAACCAACTAGAGTTGATAAGATCTTTCCAGTTAGGAGAAGCCACATTGCGGGGTCCAGAAACGTGGAATGCATACGGATGAGCTTCTTCCTGCCCCGCTGCAGGCACAGCCTCCGACACCGCCTCCGTTTCCATCACCACGATCTCCTCTGATCCACCCTTTGCCTCCATCGAAGACAATGCTTGTTCTTCGTCGCTAGAAAAGAAGGCGCTCTATTTGGGTTTGCTGGGAGTGTGGAAGGAAGAAGCTTTTGCTTAGCATCGGATACTGATTCGATGCTCATCATCAGAGAAAAATAGAAAATTACTTTTTCTTTTTCTGCAATAATTATTATAATAATAATTTGAAACACGAAGTTTCCAACGGTCATCTTTTGCTCATGTTGTCGGTTTCAATTGTTTAAGGACGATAATACCCTTGGGAACTTGAGTTTATATCGGGGAGGGACTGGGTGGTGCCTTATTTATTTATTCACTTTCTTTGGTAGAAAGAAAGAGAATTCCCAAAAGAAAAGGGGAAAAGAAACAAAAAAAAGAAAAAAAAGAAAAGGGAATTCACGTCAAAAAAGAAAAAAAAAAAAAAGAGAGAGAAAGGGGATCTCGTTTATTCCCTAAATTACCATAAAGTTAATGTTTTCGTTAGGTTGGGGTTATTATTATAGTTATATTTGTTATATTTACATAAGTTATTAAATCTTATCTTAATTCAATTATTAAGAATAGTTGATAACATATAAAATAGTTAAAATTTATTATTTAATAGATTAAAATTAATTTATAAATAAATATTTTTAAATATTATAATTAATTACTTAAAAAAATATAAAATAATAAAATAATAATTTATTTACGTGATCTTGACAAAATTGAATGTGACATTATCACGTAGTTTGGTTGGTGAAAAGCTTTTCTAAAATTTAAAGACATTTTAGTATTTTTATACTTTAATATTATAGTAAATAAAGAAAAAATTGATACTTTTTATTTTTATTTTTATTAACACAATATTTAGAACCTATTTGGTTTGAATAGAGCATTTCATAGAAGTTCCAATAGAGAAAATCTGTTGCAAAAACAAGAAGACCCATGGCCTGGGGAAGCGGTCTCCATTGCCCTTAAGGGGGGTGCACTTGCCTAAGGGCTTCCCAAGTGGAAGAGCCTATGTCACAATTTATTGTAAAAGTTTTATTTTTAAGAAATTGATGGTGTTGGACAAAATTTTTAGACAAGTACTTTTAGGGTCTACAGTTATTTGGTGTATATTGTTTTTAAAAAATATTTTTTAATCTAATATGTTGTTAGAATAATTAAAAATGACTTTTTTTTTAAAAAGGTATCATTTATATTTTTATTTTTCATATTTATAGAATTTCAATTTCTTGTGAGTATCATTATTTTAACATTATGATTACAAAAAGATTATTCATATTTATAAACAATAAATGCTAAAAAATTAATGCAATACTATAGTTATAACAACATGTTGGATTATAAATTTACAATCATGACATGTCATTAAATAAGTACAACATATTATTTTTTTTGATAGGAAATAGAGAATTATATTAAAATATAAGAAGATTACAGATAAATCTCTATCAGGGGTGTTATAGCCAAATTAAAGACAGAAGTGTAACCTACAACATTAGTAACAGATTTAGACTATGTCCACGACGGTTATGGACAATTAAGCGAAGAAGGCCATATGTGACTAGAGATTGTAGCTACAATCCTTGTAAGGGCAAAAATAGGGCTACAGAAGTAGAAAAGGAGGTCACTATGAGTGTCTGAAACTATTGGACATCTTCACCTATTTAGCCAACTTCATGGGGAAAGCAAGGAAACTCGACATCAATAGTCCCCAATCTGCTAGATGTCGTCCTGTGCTAATGCATACTTCAATCGGCAGGAGGGTCATGGCCTTTAGCTGATTAAGCTAAAGCCACCCCTGTATTGTTTACCAGCACTTTAAGGGCTCGCTCTTCTTCCATAGGTGGGAGACAACTCCTCTTCTTGTTCTGACTCCCATTCTCTATGGTCCCTACAGAAGCCACTTCACGATCTAACCGTTTCCAACTGCCCTTATTTGCTTTTGCAGTGGTCCCTTTCCCTATGTGGTTTCTCATGTCCCTAAACTGGTGCGACAAAGGAACGTCCACTAGTTGTACCTAAGCAATTGGAGACAGAACAGCTCGAGACGAATTTATCTCAACCTCCAGGCCCATGTCAATTGTACCATTCTCTATGTTTCCCTCCTCAACCTGCCTGGTATCATTGTTACCACTCGCAACTTGGCTTCCACAAAGGGGCAAATTAGGAAGGGTTTGGATTTCTGCATGTGCAGAGTGCTGTGGGTCATCTACCTGCTTAGCAGCCCCCAAAAATTGGGTATTTTTGGAGAAAGAACCATCCAAATATCAAAGTCGTTCGGACACCATGAGTTCTCAAATTCAACCTTTAACCAAGGACCAAAACATCGGATAATCTTACCACATGCATCTTTAATACAGTGAGCAATTTCACAATCATTCTCAACATGACCCAAACACCCACATACAAAACAAAACTCTGGGTCTCTTTCATATTTAATCCTGAGGTTCCTACTTTCGGTAACAGTAAGAAGTACAACATATTATTAAACAAGTAGATATATACAATATCATAATTATATTCTAAGTAAAAATAATCAAATATTATATGACAACATATCATATTGTAAGCTTACAATTTTATATTGTAGTTATATTATACCTTTATCATTTTCAATTAATGAACAATTTTAATAAATAAATACTTATATCTTAATATTAGAAAATAAAACATGTTGCATTTTAGTCACAAAACATGATAATAAAATTAAAACTTATGTCAAATAATTAGTTTGGTTGACATCCCATAAAGATTGAGTTATGAAACCTCAAAGTGAAGTCATGTCATAATTCTCCACTATACAGGCAACATTATCCAGAGAAATTCTACCATTTCTATTCTCTCTTCTCCATGCTCTTCATGCCTATAATTTGAGTCATGATCACATGTATCAAATTTTTTATCTTTAATTGCATGTTGTCTTTGTCTCTTTTTCCTTTCAGTCAAAAGGACTTGCACTCTTACCATCCTATAAAATGGTGGATCAAGAAATCAATAGCAATCAAAATAAAATAAAATATTTTAATGCCATTGCCACGTACAATTTTATGAGCTATAGAGTTGGCCTTCCTTTTAATCAAAATAAAGTATCAGTTTAAAGTATCAGAGTTGGCATCCAACTTAAAATCAATTGACAATAAGTGAAGTAGCATGTCTTGTGTTTAGCCACATGCTTTTTGTTATATTTTCAATATGAGATTTTCACAATCAACAACAAGGAACACAAAAATATCGAAAATAGAATTCCAAAATTTTAGCTTAAAGAATGGTTATGTTGGTAACAATTTATTTTGCTCACAAAGCAACATGAAAGGCCATGATTAGATATACTATCCAGTTTTCCTTATGTTGAGGGATGAATTTATATGGCTGCGTAACCAATGATGTGTGTGGGTTCACATCAGCAAAGGCCCACAACGCTTATTCTCCACATCGGATGTGCAATTCCTATCTGCTACTAATTACTGCAATGGAATTAGCATCGCCAGATACGACACTTATTCACTTCATTGGAAACATCATAAAATGCAGCTCACTTGAGCACTTATTTCCTCATACATGACTAGACATCGTTAGATCTATTTCGATGACATGGCTAAGCATTTCTTGACAGTAATGTCCTCTGTAGTGATATTTACTATTGTATCTTGTGGCTCCCATCAATGGACAACGGGCTACATCTATACAGCTCCCAATGATGAACAAAGAGCTAGATTTGTTATTTCATTCAGCCTCTAGCAATGGGTAAAATGCTACACATATCTCTACATGTCTTTATTACACAGGTTCCCAACAACGGACAAAGGGCCAGATCTCTATATATATTCTATCTTACTGGCTTCTAGCAAAGAACAAAGAGTCAGCGTAACTCGGTACGATTAGTGTGAGGCCGATAACAGTTGCAACCCTACGATTAGATGGGATTGCTACCTTCTAGTGATAAAAATCCATCAAGTAACGGCCAACGGTCCCTTGATAGTCACTTGTGCATGGTGGTGTGGTGCCCAGCGGGCAACAACAACCAGGACCACCCTCGATGGTACAGGTACAACAAGAAAGGCTAGCGTTTGTCAGTGGTATCACACTTTGTCGTATCGGAGGCTGTAGATGCGACTAGCGTCTCCCTTTCATGGAGACAACTCCACCTCTCTCCATACATATTTATCGCTATGGCGGCGTTTAATTTAATGAGATTTCCCTTCGTGACTTGGTAGATTAGTGGGAGTGCTCTTCTGATTCCACATGCTTTATGCTCCAGCCATGGGCAAAGCCAGTCACTGTTGTCCCTCTATCATGGGGAAGCTATTCTCGGCTGACCACGCAATATGTATATAACATGACCAATGGTCATGTACATTATCATTCTTTTACCCAAAGGGACAAAATTACCAATCTCCGTAATCTTGTCTTATAACACATATTTTCTATGTCTTACGTGCTAGCAAGTAGCGCCAACTAGCGAAGCTTGGCTCGGGACAACGATATCATAGTACACACCCATATCACTTGTTCCTCATTCTGATGCAACGCCAGCCATGTACAATAGTAATATACTGATATCAACCATGACCAGCAAACAAATGAGAGCAGTGATTATTCATCCACATGGTCCCTTTCAACATAAAAGGGAGTTTCCTTCTTCGCTGCATGTATTTATATATTTTTTATTCTTAAATATTTGAACATATATTTACATGCGCCTTGCTATTATTGCAAGTAAACACAAGCCCATGAATCCAAACTTATGGGAATTACTCGAGATAAATTATAGGAGTAATGACTGGGTAGGCATGGATAGGTGAATGCTGCCTGTCTAGCGAAGCAAGGCATCTATGCCAACGAAGCTTGGCGTTGGCAATGTTGCTTGATTTCGCCAAAAAGGGCTGGGTGGCGAAGATGTGAAAGTAAGCTTGATTCCCGAAACAGTACCATTTGATGCTGACCAAAGGTTGGAAATCCTGTTAAAAACTAACTGAAAATGCTATCTTGGTCACCATCAGCAACTTGCAACCATATTTAATGCAAGGGTGGCTGCACAAGTTCCATGGCTTTGGAAATTGTTGTAAAAGATTACTATTTGCTTGCAGAATCCTCCAAAATCCAGTGTAGAACTTGGGGAACTTACCAAATCCTGTGTAGGTGTTGTTTTTGTCGGCTGCACTCAAGCACCTCCCCAAAAATGGGATTTCGTATGGCTGGAGACATTGCTAGAAATATACAATTTTCGATTCTTCGCCAGAGCCAATGGAGTTTCGCTAGAACCACTGAGCAATTCATGATGCCACTGCTATAGAGCTGCCAGCAGTGCCTAGAGCCACTAAAAATTTGACAGCTCACCTAAACCCACTTGTAAACATCTAGCCCATTAACTAGAAATTACAAAAGTGCCATTGCCCTTATATATGTTGCTTTTCCTTCATTTTTAAAGGGGGACATATAGATTTTCCATCTAGAAGCCAAGGCTTCCTCACGTATGAGACTCCTATTCTTTCTTTGAACACCTCCTCATCTTTAACCTACCATCCCACACATCAAAATCACCCAGAAATCACCATTCTTGCACATTTCTTTACACTCCCATCACTACAGAATATTTTCTCAACACTACAAACACTTCAGAACACTTTTCAACACTGCAAAATATTTTCTCAGCATTGCAGAACACTTTTCAACATTACAGAATATTTCTCTAGCATTGCAGAACACTTCTCAACACTATAGAATATTTTCCAGAGGTGTAGAAAATCACGGTTGAAAAACGGCATGCTATAATCTCAGTTTCTGGGTAGACTTTCTTGAGCATCAGAGGATCAAGCGGCAAGGTTAGCATTGAAAACGAGATCAAGTGTCCTCTCCACAAGCCCCCAAAGCGGTCATCCATTCTTCTTCCATTGCCACTCTTGAGTTTACTTCCTTTTGTCCTTGAAAGAATTCCAAGAGGGGAACCATTGCATTTTTCATCTTTAGCATGAAGGTTGTTTGTTATAGGGTCAAGATATTTGCTAGAAATGATAGAAGTCACCTTTATTACCATTATTATTATGTCACAATATTTTATGCATGAGGTTGATTCTCAAGTTGTAATTTTTAAACCTCATGTATTCCTCATCTTTACCGCCCCTTCAACACCGTACATTTTCTTTCCATTGTTGTGGTAGTCATATAATCAACCCAAGCTCTTGAGTCTCTGTCATCGCTGACTAGCTCTACTGGCTTGGCTAGAAAGTTCACATTTCTTGACTTTGCTGGAGAACCCGCTATAGGATATCATCATTGGATGAAACAAGATGGCCTGTAACACGTAGACTTTTGCATTGAGACGGGTGTCGCCAAAAGAACCCTCCTCATTTCTTTCTATGGATGGTGTTACAGTCAGCCTCCACATCATTACCGCTGCTAACTCATCAACTTACATCACCAACACACCCCAACACCTTATACATGAGTTTGATCAACCAAAGAAAATTATCAAAATGAGTTTTCCTTATAAGGAATAACTTTTTCCCCAACTTTCTTAATGTAGAATCCATTTGATAATTTTATCCTAACTTTTTCAATATTAACTTCTTACTGAATATAAAAAAGTTAACAACCTACCCCTTATGTTTAGTAATAATTATCGCTTTTTAACTTTTTTTCAAAATTAAAAATTTGAGGACAATTTATGTGTTGACATATATTACCATTAAAAAAGAAATAAAAGATAAAAAGAGACTTTTTATGATAAGGTTATTAATTAAAGTAAATAAATAATGAGAGGATTAAAGTAGGGAAAAAAAATTTGTCTACCTTTGTTGATGGATGAATTAGTATGGTTGTAAAACCAATGACATGTGTGGATCCACATCAACAAGGACCCACAATGATCATTTCCCAGATTGGACATGTAGTTCCTATTTTCTTCTAGTTGTTGCAATGGAATTAGCATCGCCAGAAACGACACTCATGCACTTCGCTGGAGACATCGCAAAATGTAACCTACTCTAGCATCTATTTTCACATACATGGCTAGACAAAGTTAGATCTATTTTGGTGATATGGCTGGGCATTTCTTGATGGTCATGTCCTTTGCATCAATATTCACTGCTGTATCTTATAGCTCCCAACAATGGATAATGAGCCTACTTTACGACATGGCTTATGTCAAAGGACAACAATCTGATCTGCATAGCTCTTTGCGATGGGCAACAAGCCAAGCATTTATCTCTACATATCTCTATCACTGGTTTCCATCAATGGACAACGAGGTGATCCTATTACACCTACACAACCTCCAGTGATGGACAAAGGGACAGATTTACTATCTCATCTAGCCTCCAACAATGGGTAACAGGCTACACATCTCCACATATCTTATTACACTGGCTTCTGACAATGAACAAAGGGTTGGATTTCTACATATTCTATCTCACTAACTCTCAAAAACAGACAAAGAGTTAGTGCAACTCGATACGATTAGCGTGAGGCCGGTAACGGTTGCAACCCTACGATTGGACGAGATGGCTACCCTCCAGCAATAAAATCCATCAAGTAGTGACCGGTGGTCCCTTGGTGGTCGCCCGTGCATGGTGGTGTGGTGCCCGACGAGTAACAACAACCAGGACCACCCTCTATCAGTGTGGGTATGGCAAGAAGGGCCAGCGTTTGTTAATGGTATCACACCATATCGTATCAGAGGCCATGGATACGGTTGGCGTCCCCCTTCGATGGAGACAACTCCACCTTTCTCTATACATATTCATCGCTATGGCGTAGTCTGGTTTAATGAGATTTACCCTTTTGCGGCTTGGATGATTAGTGGGAGCGCTTTTTCAATTCCACATAGTTCACGCTTTAGCCATGGGCAAAGCTAGCTACTATTGTCCCTTTGGTTACGGGGAAGCTATGCTTGGTTGACCCTACAATACATACATAACATGGCCGGAGGTCATGCACATTGTCACTCTTCTATACAAAGGAACAAAATTATCGATCGCCAGTAATCTAGACTCATACCACATATTTTTTATGTCTTACCTGTCAGTAAGTATCGCCGGCTAGCGAAGATTGGCTCGAGACAACGATATCGTAGTACACAAGCATACCACTTGTTTCTCATTCTGGTGCAACGTCAGCCATGTACAACAACAATATATTGATGCTGGCCATGGCTAGCAAACAAATGAGGGCAGCGAATATTCATCCACATAGTTCCCTTCAACACACAAGGGAGTTTCCTTCTTCGCTGCATAGGCTTATATATTTCTTATTCTTAAATATCTGAACATATATTCACATGTGCCTTATTGTTACTGCATATAAACACAAGCCCATGAATCCAAGCTCATGGGAATTATTCGGGATAAACTATGGGAGTAGTGGCTTGGCAAGCATGGATGGATGAACGCCGCTCGTCTGGCGTAGCAAGGTATCCACACCAGTGAAGCTTGGCAGTAGCGATGCTGCCTAACTTCGCTAGAAAGGAGCTGGGTGGTGAAGACATGGAAATGAGCATGATTCTCGGAACAGTACAGTTTAATGCTTACCGAAGGCTAGAAATCCTACCAGAAACTAACCAGAGATGTTGTCTTGGTCACCATCAGCAACTTGCAACCATATTTAATGCAAGGGTGGCTGCACAAGTTCCATGACCTTGAAAACTGTTGTAAAAGATTACTATTTGCTTGTAGAATCTTCCAAAATCTTGTGCAGAGCTTGGGAAACTTACCAAATCCTTTGTAGATGTTGTTTTTGCTAACTGCACTCAAGCAACTCCCCAAAGATGGGATTTTGTATGGCTGGAGGTATTGCCAGAAATATACAATTTCTAGTTTTTTGCCAGAACCAACGAAGTGTCGTTGGAACCGTTGGGCAATTCATGATGCCACTGTCATAGAGTTGCCAACAGTGCCTATAATCACAAAAAATTTGACAGCTCACCCCAACTTGTCTACACACCTCTAAGCCATCAACCAGAAATTGCAACAATACCACTGGATACATATATAAATTATCCTCCCTTCATATTCCAAAATATAGATAGATGCATGCAGCACAAAAATAGATTAATACACCTAACTCTAACCCTTCTTCCTCACTCACCAAAACTCCCATTTTCCTCTAAAAAATACTCCGTCTTCAACCTACTGCCCTGCCCTCTAAAACCATTCAGAAATCACCATTTTCTCAGATTTCCTGTCTATCTAGCTTTGCAAAACATTTCTCAGCTTTGTAGAACATTTCCTAGTATCGCTAAACATTTTACAGTGCTGTAGAATATCACCTAACACCGTTGCAGGATATTATGGCTGGGAAACAACAAACTATAGTTCCATTTTTTGGGTAGTTCTTCTTGAGCATCAAATGATCGAGGTTGCAAGGTTAGCATCAAAAACGGGATCAGTGCTCCATTCGTAAGCTCCCAAGTGGTCATCCTTCCTTCTCCCATCACCATTCTTGGGTTTATCCTTTTGTCTTTGAAAGAGTTTCAAGAGTGGAGTTGCTACACTTTTCATTTCCAATATGAGGATTATTCGTTATATAGTAAAGATATACACTAGAGATGAAAGTTGTCACATTTATTGTCATTATTATCATGTTACATTGATATGTATGAATGTGATCCTCAAGTTGTAATCTTTGAATCACATGTATTTTCCATTTTTGTTGCCCCTCCACAACAACATACAACTTCCACCCATCATGTTTTTGATAGTTGTGTAATCATCTTGAATCCTTGGAATCCCGCCATTACTACCCAACTCCACCGGCTTGGCTAGAGGTTTTATCCTTTCAAAAGTTCACTGGAGAGTTCACTACAAGTCATCATTGCCTAACAAAATGGGATGGCTCGTAGCATGTAGCCTTCAGCATGTGAAATGGGTGTCGCCAAAAGAATCCCTCCATTTTCTTGGGTGTTATCCTAGTTAGCTTCCACGTCATCACCATTGTTGACTCATCCATCTACATCACCAACACCCCCGAACAAAATGGCGACTCCATTAGGGAGGTCGTCCTAGAGCTTCATCCTGTTCTGCTCTTCTTCAGCGACATAATATCTCTAGCATTCTGCCTCAGCAGTATGTATTTATCTTCAACAGAATTTTTCTGGCCATGCCTATCACAAGGGCAACCTCATCTCACATTGCTTATGGGAATCAAGAGCATGGCCAGGATGATGGACAAGAAGTTCAGCAGCCACGTCCATCAATAGATGTTTTTAATGACCTTTTGCAAGGAATCACTGATCCCAGCCTTGCATACCTAGTTCAAGTTATCCAAGTCCTACACAACGACCAGCAAATGATTATTCAGCTCCTCACCAACGTATAGACCCAACATGTTGTGTAGGATTCATCACAACCCATCAATACGACTGGAACTTCCCAGCCACATGAAGTCCATATTGGGGCTACCGATGGTAATGGAGGTTCTGCTGCGCGACCAAACAATTCGGCACCGCCAGTAGTTGCAGCTACCAGTATCGATGGGGCTCTACCCAATGCAACTGATTCTACCCAAGGTTATGTCACCATGGAGGACCTTACCACTTTCTTGGACAAGGAGCGTTCCAAACATGGAACAATCCCTTTTTACTTTGTTCGTGACCCACCTTATCCGAAGGCAATTCTGTCCAGACCATACCCAAAGAAATATGAAAGTCCTGCATTCTTGTAGCACGATGAAAGGAAAGGCAGTTTTGTGAAGCATGTCGACAAGTTCCTTGAGGCCATGGGGGCTCACGTCGATGACAAAGATTTGTGTCTATGTGAGTTCTCGAAGTCTCTCTCTGATAGAGCTTATGCATGGTACACTACTTTGCCTCTCAGCTCTATCTGTTCTTGGGATGAGATGGTGGAACAATTTTGTCAAAAATATTTTCAAAGTAAAGAACACATCACCATCCTTGATCTCCACAACACTCGCCAATGCACTGGTGAAGATTTAATGGTCTATGTGAAAAGATTCAGGGATTTGGCACTTGACTGCTATGGTGGTGATACTGAGTCATTCTTAATGGAAATTTGCATCAACAACATGTTTTTGAAATATCACGCTATCCTTGAAAACATTGGGATCAATCAGTTTGCAAGGCTACTCGATGCCGCCAGGAGAACAACTATTTCTGTCAAAGCCATCTCTATTGGGAAATTTGTAGTGAAGTCAATAAAAAAGAAAACCACTATTCACACCTTGGCTGTCTCTATCTAGGGCCAAGGATAAGGACGGAAAAAGAGAAATCGTGACACGGCATCGCCACCACCTATTCCTCTCACTGTCGAAGAACTCGGCATGCTCTTAGATCAGTGGATCGTTGACGATGCCATCACATTACCTCAAGTGCATCGCGAGCCTAACGACGATGATAAGCACAACCCCAAGTATTGTTGATACCATTGTGTTGTCCACCATGCGACCATGGACTATTTTTCCTTGAGAAGGATGTATCATCGATGGGTTTCAAAAGGGCCATTAGAAGTGTTGAACAAGAGACAGAGGGTGGATGAGGATCCTCTCCCATGCCACAACCAAGGTTCTGTCAATGTTCTCACCCATGTGGAGAGCATTGGAGCAAACGAGCCAATAGTTGAATTGTCTAATGATACGCCCAACTTCTCTGTCCGTGCACTTAAATGAACTCCAAAGTTCAAGATGCTGTTTGATCAACTTGGTTAAACTAGTGAGGTGTGACAAAGAGCCACAGAGGCCATACTCTCCATCGCCAATGAGGTTGGAGGAGAATCCCTCAACGTCGAAGTGCATGTTAGCCGTGCTTATCTTGAATCTTTTAATGCTGTCACATTCACTGACGAAGATATGGAGGTGCCATATCCTGACCATAGAAAGCTTTTTTACTTATCGCTCAGATCAACTCTGTTGGTGTCAAGCGTTCACTAGTTGATACAGGATCCTCTCTCAACCTGATACCATTAAGCACCATCATCGCTGTAGGAATCCCTTAGTAAAGAATTGTCAAGTCTCCACTTAGCATTATTGGCTTTGGCAGCAGTAGTGAGTATGCCCTTGGATATGTTCAGCTTGAATTAAAGGTCGGTCTAGTCTAATCTCAAACTATATTCTATGTTATTGATGCAAAGTTTCTTATCATATATTGTTGAGAAGACCATTGTTGCATCGACATAAAATTGTCCCTTCTACTTATCATCAATGTGTTAAGGGCCGTCTGAATGGAAAGGTTTTTCGCATCCCTAACAACCCATTGCCATTTGATCAGACTAAGACCCACTTCGTTGAAGTTGCTTTTTATGATGAATTCGCCCCTTTTGGCGAAGAGATAGTATCTCGCCAAGGTGGCATTGTCTTGCGAACATGGAATGACATCAAAGATAAGCCTGATCTTAATTTGTGAAGTGTCCTAGAGCATAAAAGACAGAAGAAAAAGGTAGGAAAGGCCGTCCAACTACGTCCAAAGTGCACTCGAATTGTTCTTCTCGATGGAAGGATCAAATATACTTTATGAAGGTGTGTGGGGCCTCTTGGCTATGCGCGGGATGGCCTTATTACCAGTAGTGTAGCCATGTCTTTGGATCATCTATTCTTCACTTTAGAGGAAGGTACTTCGATTGGTGAATGAGGCCTCTCCAACAAAGCATAATGCGGCTGGAAATGAGATACTTGCTAAGCATCTAGATTTTTTTGGCGAAGCTAATCATCTAGTACCACTAGACAAGCTGCCAACCCTTCTTGAAGCTCAATCGACACTCACTTTTCTAAAGTCCCTCAAAGCTATTGATCTTGGAAATGATCCAACAAGCCCTAGGCATGTACATATTAGCACCACTCTTTCTATGGATGAAAGAGCCAAAATGGTTAATTTGCTCCGAGAATATAAGGATGTTTTCACTTGGAACTATGATGAAATGCCAAGGCTTGATCCAACCTTGGTGGCACGTTCTTTGAATGTTGATCCTAGTATGAAGCCAATTGTGCAGCCAAATCATGCCTTCCATCCAGAGGTTACTTTGAAAATTAAAAAAGAAGTTGAGAAGCTCTTGGCTGTAGGATTCATCAAACCAACAAAGAAGCCGACTTGGTTGGCCAATATTATACCAGTTCGAAAGAAGAATGGGCAGATTAGGTGCTGCAGTGACTTTCGCGACTTCAATAAAGGCATGTCCCAAAGATGAATTCTCTGTCCCAAACATGGACATGTTAATGGACAATATTGTTGGCTACGAGATGTACTCTCTCATGGATGGCAGCAGTGGGTATAACTAGGTCAGTATGTGCCCCAATGATGTAGAGAAAACTGCTTTTTATATCTCTATTGGTAATTTTTACTATATTGTTATGCCTTTTGAACTCAAAAATGCTGAGGCTACTTATCAAAGAGTCATGATGGTAATCTTTCATGATTTGATCCATATATATATATTGAGATTTACATCGATGACATTGTGGTGAAGTCCAAAACAAGACTTGTCCTCTTCAATGTGTTGAAGAAAGTCTTCAACAGATGTCGTCTATACAAGCTGAAAATGAATCTAGCGAAGTGTGCATTTGGTGTTTCTGCTGGGAAATTCCTGGGCTTCCTTGTGAGTAAACACGGTATCAGTGTGGATCCAGCTAAGTTTGAAGCTATCCGAACCATGCAACCCCCTAAGAATCTCAAACAACTACAAAGCTTCATCGGCAGGGTCTCATATATTTGCAAAGTCATCCCTTCATTGGTAGAAATACTATTCACATTTAGCCCTTTGCTGAAGAAAGGAGCCGCTTTCATGTGGATGGTAGAGCAGTAACGTGCCTTCTTACATCTGTAGGATCTTATGCTTAGATTACTGATCATATCCGTCCCCATCTAACGCAGACCACTTAAAGTCTATTTGTTTACTTCTGACAAAGCTATGCGTGCACTGGTTACCCAAGACGACCAAGAAGGCAAGGAACAACAAGTTTATTATGTTAGTTAAAACCTTAAGGGTGCCAAATCGAGGTACCTTTTTATTGAGAAAATTTGCCTTGCATTAATTTATATATCTCAGCGCCTTCGACATTATTTCTTGGCTCATAAGATACAACTCATCACCAAGTCTCAGCCCATTTGGTACCTTCTAACACGGCCCATGCTCACTGGCCATCTTGCTAATTGGCTCCTTCAATTGTCTCAATATGATATTATATGCGTTAATCCCACCACCATAAAAGGGCAAGCTGTTGCAGACTTGTTGTGTGAGTTTTCTAATGAAGTCCAGTATCTTACTTCTAGCGAAGTCCCAGGTGGTGAGGTTGCTACTGCACAGTCAATTGAGGAAGAATGGACATTATATTTTGATAGTTCTTTCGCGGCTGAAGGGGCTGGGGTTGGCATTGTTCTCAAAATGACAAAGGCCATGATACAGTATTTTCATTCAAGCTTGATTTTCAATGCATGAATGACACTGCAGAGTATGAAGCTCATCGTATTGGGCTCGCTATGGCTAAAGAGGCTGGTGTGTAGCGCTTGAAAATCATTGGTGATTCAGATCTGATCCTTGGCCAAGTTCAAGGTACCTTTGCTATCCAAGAAGAACATTTCACGGCATATCGTTCTGTTAGCCAACACCTGGAGTAGTTTTTCGCCAGCAAAAGATATGAGCAAATACCACGGATGGAGAACCAATTGGCCGATGCCTTGGCCACAATTGCTTCAAGAGCACTTATGGCTGAGAATCCCTTCAGCATCCAAATTGTTCGAAGAGAACAACTTATCTATTGTGGTTGTGAATTTGTTTTACCTGAGCTACTTGACCGTGCTGACTAGCGGTATGAGATTTATAACGCCCTATTGCAGCAAAACTCTGGCATGCCTTTGAAGGACTTATCTGGCTATGTTATTATTTCTCGTGAGCTATACTATCGTCTCCTTAGCGAAATCTTGACTAGGTGCATCAGCAATAAGGAGACTTATCACAGACTTAGGGAAATCCATGAGCGCACATGTGGTCATGATAACCATGTGAGCCTCTATCACCGAATCTAACGAGTAGGGTACTATTGGCCAACCATGGCTCAACAATCCACTGAATTCCAACAGCAACTGTATTTTGTCAACAGACTTACTATCAAAATGAAGAATGCTACTCTGTGATAGTGTTTAGGATTGGCACCATCCTTACATGGAGTACTTCACTAAGGGAATATGGCTAGAATCCTTGAAAGATGCACACAATCTAAAGAGATCCTTGTCAAAATTTTTCATGGATTATGGAGTTTTGTTTTGTACCAACTTCGCTAGTGAGCCATTTCGTTGCTTATCATTAACAGAATCTAAGAAAGTCATGGCTAAATACATGCAGGGGAATGTGGCAAACATCCAGGGTAAAGAAAGTTGTATAAGAAACTTTTAGCTCATGGTTATTACTGGCCAAGCATGAAGCAAGATGTTACAGATTTCGTTCGATGATGTCATGCTTGCTAGGTTCATGCTAGTCTTATCCATTCCCATCCTAATTTGTTGCAAGATATGAAGACTTCTTGGCCTTTTCATACTTGGGGCTTGGATCCCATCGTCCCATTCACCCTTTATTTGAGGGTTACATTTGGATATTGGTGGCCACTGAATATTTCACCAAATGGGTGAAGGCTATCCCTTTTCACAAGGCTACAAGCCCAACGGTGTCAAAATTTATCAAGGAACACATAATCTGCTATTTTGGGATCCCATACAAAATTGTAAGTGACAATGGAACTCTTTTTGTTAATCAACATGTGCGAAGATTGCTGGACACTTATAAGATTAAGTATCGGAAGTGCACTCCTTGTTACCCCAAAGGCAATGGCCAAGCAAAGGCAACTAACAAAAGTTTGCTAAGAATTCTAAGCAAAATGGTCTATGAGTATGAAGGAGGGTGGAGCATCCATTATCAAGATACCCTTTGGGCTCATTGAGCATCATCCAAGACTGCTATAGGTTTTTCACCTTATTTTCTATATATGGTTGCGATGTAGTCCTTCCTAATGAAGTCTTAGTGCCAATTGCATGCATCTTGGCTGGATCCGAGCTAGATAACGATGTTGATATTTGTGGCCAGAGGCGAATTGAAGACTTGGAGTTTGTCAAGGCGTTTTGTCAGATAGCATAAGAAAAGGCTCAGAAATACCTAGCCAAGATGACAAATGCCTACAATTATGCAGTCAAGGCTAAAGTCTTTACAGTTGGACAGATGGTCTTTAAGGCCTCTGACCATGTAAGGAAGAACATCGCTAGACCATCTAAGTTCGCTGCCAATTGGGACGGTCCCTTTGTCGTCGCGGAAGCACATGATAGCAGATATTATCGCCTCAAAACTCATAAGGGAGAATCGCTATCGGATCCCGTGAATGTTAAGTGGCTCAAGCCATACTATTGTTAGGCTTTACCAACCTCATCTATTTTTGTAATTTTATCTCTGGCATTGTCTTTTATTCCAGCCAAGAGATTAATTTCGTCCGTGGTGTATCATCAAATGTAAGGTGCAAATAGTACTCTATTATTATGTTCGGCACTTTATGTATCGACCTATTTAGACTACTTTCATTTTGCTCTATCACTGTAAAAGGACAAGGAGTGTTCAAAAAAAAAAAAAAAAGAGGGAAAAAGAAGAAGTGCATCATATAACATGATCTAAAACAACCTCCCTGTTCCATTTCTTCAGTACAATTTTGTTTGTTTGATTGATATATTCAGAGTAGCAAGGAGAAATGAGCAAGAAAATAAATAAGCAACAACGTCCAGACTTCGCTGGAAGCAAAGATGTTCAACCCAGAACAAACATGACTAGAGGGCTACATCATGGTAACATCGCCAACAATCAGCGTACTATAAACGAAAAGAAATAAAAATGAAGAGAAAGTTAGAACGCGAGGCTGACTCATGGCAAGAAGGGGCTAGGCTTGTCTTTAAAGGCCTTGGTAGCTTCTATACAGGCTTGGTGAAGCTCAGTCACACCGTTGGAGTCCAAATGTTCTTTTTCTTGATTGAGCGATCCTAGGTATGCCTTGGCTAACATTAATCCTACTTCCAGTTTGATGACAAGTTCTCTTGTCTCGGCCAAAGACTTCTCCATCTCTTTAATATGCTTCACCTGCTCCCTGATTCACTCATCCAAGCCCTCAGCCATGTCACCTTTGGCTATGCCGAACTCAGTCTTCCCAAGGTATGCCTTTGCCAAGGTTGATAAATGAGTGCAAAGGGCATTGACTTCAAAGTTTATACTCTTAGCATCGTCAAGGGCATCCCCACACAGATAGAAGAAATCCTCATTCATTTTAGCAAAGGGAGTTACCTCCATGTGCTGCATGGTCACACAAAGGATTGAAAAGGCGTCCTCGACCACCACCTTCTTGGCCTTGCTGCACATTGTGAGATTTGGAAAAATGTCTAACAACTGGCATGCCCATCGTTCCAACATTGCAGGCACTGCAAACCTGCCCATTGCTCGTGAGCTACCTAGGGGCATTAAGCCGAATCGGGCCAGTGAGACATCCTTGTCTTCATTCATCTCGTCAAGATTCTTGAGTAGCCTCATGCCCAAATCATTGATCGCACCTGACTTAGCTAGAGTGGCGGATGGCTGGCCACTATGCTCAACTTAGCTGGGGCTGGCAACTTTCTTCGTTGGGCTCATGACTGGCGTGCCAGTGTCCATTTTGCCTTGCTGGAGACGAATTTCTTTGTAGCATCGCCCACATCTGATTCGAATTCTTTGGGGGCAACCCTGTTCATGTCAATGCTGCTTGAAAGCCTGCAACTTTGCCCCTCTATTTGGAACCATTCTACTCTTAGACGAGGCATTGTTGCTACTGGACTGATGGCTACTGCTCTAGTTGGAATCAAAGCTGATTACCTTGGTGACCTTCTTTCCCTTTTCTTTATCAACACTGATTGCGGCCTTGGCCTCATCCTTTTCAACACCTAGCAAAGTGAATAGAAGCACAACTGATCAACAGAGAAATATGTCACTCAAACAAGCATGGTGTTGAAATCCAAACTATTTCATTGAATAGCTTTAAATACCTTTCTCACTGCTAGCAGCACTAGTTTTCCTCGCTGGAATAAATCCCCTTGGAACCAATTCAAGGTCACCAGCCCTAAAAGGAGGTAGTTTGCTAATGGGACGCGGCTGTGCACAAGGAGAGAAAAGTTAACGACTTTACCTTAGTAATTATCAAGAGTGATTTGCAATTTTTTATGGAGATGTAGGGGCTCATACCTTCAATACCGTCACTTCTAGCTGAGTCTTCATTGTTTCAAGCTTCTTTGTCATGTTAGGGGTGCCATATGAGACCTTTACACCTCCCCTAGTCTGTAGTAAAATAGAAGGGGGGGCTTAATAAGCACATTTTGACCTTTCTTAAAATAAAGGACAAGTCTAAATGACTTACCATAGTAGGCTTTTGTAGCGGAACTTCGTTGGCTTTAGCCTTCTTCATTGACTCGGTTGTGAAGGATGTAGGATCAGTCCAATCAATGATAGAGTCAACAACATTAAATATGTCGTTGGGAAGTGGAGGCTCACCTATTTCACTAGCCATAATTTTTCGGTGAACTTCAGGGTTCGCCAAGGCTTCCTCCATGTTCATTGCCAAGGCTTCCACCCACTTGGCCTTTTCAAACTTGGACGGAACTTTATCGTCACCAGGAATAGGGATCGAACCAAAGCCTTCACTGGAAGCTGTTGATTGTTCATGCAAAGATTGAGTCACATGTCAAAGGATCCTTAATGAGGTCAACAATGACAAAAGGGCATATAGACGAAAGATTGAGCAATACACTTACCTAAAATGAAGCGCTTGAATTATAATACTTCTCACCAAGTGTTTATCGCCACAAATAGGTCTCAATCTCTTGATCTGCTCAATCACCTCAGGATCTGGATCACCCCAGGAACTCTCATCACTCTCACTGTCACAACTTGTATCTTTTTCCTTGGAGGGTGTGGGCGCTTTAACCTTACTTTGCTTGCTGGCTGACGAAGTAGAAGTTCTACATCGTCTGCTCTTAAGCGGATGGGCAACACTTTTCCTCTTACCCATAACCGACCTCTTAGGAGGGGCAGCTTTATCGGCTCTTTTTGCAATGTCATGAGAAAGCCATGGGAACATGAAGCATTCTTCGGCACTAATCCAATCCAATCAAGATCTTGGATGGAAGAAGAACCAAAGTTTAAGATAAAGGGAGAAAAGAAGAAGAAGAAGTAAGAGAGTATATTTACCTCCAGCCCCAACGTCGCCAACTACCTCTTGCCCAAGTTCTTCACCAACAACACCAGCCTAGTCATACTCCTCCTCTGCCATGCCAAGAGTGGGAGGACAGATGGGTACCCACTGCCCATCATCCTCCCTAGTTAGAAACCCCAAGATTGTTTGTCGCAATAGCTCAAGAAAGAATTATTGTGGGTAAAAAGATGTTCATAATCCCTGAAAGTAGGATCATACTCCACCACTTCTGGCAATGATTGAATGAAAGCTTCAAACTTTTTTAGCAGTGTCCCCCAATACTCCAGCATGGGTGACGAAATGGTTGATATTCTCATAGTGCTAAAAAACCTAAGTATGGCAACACCCTCGCTTCACATGGCTGTGGCAACTTCATCGATGTAAGGCCACGGCAACTTCATCAATGTAAGGCCGCATGGCCCTGTTCCAATCTGTCTTGTCCGAAGAAGGAGTAAGAGCTACATCCTTATCATAACCAAATTGTCTCGCAACTCTTTTCAGACAGTAGCACTCTAGACTCCACATCTTCTGCCATGTAGTGCATGGCAGCATGGATGGTGTGATCATCGCCAACATTTCCAGATGACTTGAATTCCCCATGGTAAACTCCACAATCTGACTCCCAAACACCGTTGGGAGTGCCTTGTCAAAGAGGCTCACCTCGGGTGAAGCAAATGTTTGAGGCATTGTCTTGGACGCATGGAAATTAAAGTTGTCACAGTGATCTAGAAGGCCATCAACTTTCGAGATTATCTGTCCCTTTATCTTCCTTTTTCCTATGCAAGAGTAGGCTGACAGAGCTATTCTGTTGGTGTAACCACACTTCACCATGGGATATTCCTTCAAAGCCTTCCCACTAGTAACACGGCCAAAATGATAGGGGCAAAACCTCTCCCATGCAAACATTTGCAGCAAAGACAAACATACATTTGACTCAATGATGTAATAGCTGGCACTGAGAATCTCATCAAAGTGGAGCAAATCAAGCATATGATAGAGCATACCTAGCATCAACAGGGCTAAAGGGAGCTTCACACCTTCAGCCAATCGAATTGCCAGAGGAATACACTCAACCATAATCTTTTGGTTTGGGAAGCCCTTGAAGACAAACTTACTCAACCAAGTCGTAAGGAAAGCTGCACGTACATATGGGCTATCTTTACCTTCGCCTATCCGAAAGTACCGTATCCAAGTTAGAAAATCAATGCTGTATTCTCCCCTCCATGAGCGAGAAGAGGCATTGGCATTCCTTTTCATCACCTTCTTCAAAGCTACTAGTGTGGCATGCTCCTCCGGTGTTAATGTTATGTGCCGTGGATCTTCTTCCCCAACAATAAGCAATAACATCAGATTTGCCACATCTTCTAGAGTCACAATAACCTCCCCAAAAGCAAGGATAAATGTATGGGTACTCGTGCACCACCTCCTCACCAAACGACAAAGGCACTTTACATTACCACTAATTTGCAGAGTCTAGCTCAAAGCTATCGACTTAAGAATCCCAATGGCACGCAATATCTCCACAAAACTAAACCAATCTTCCATCTTACCAGATGGGAAGGCAAAGTGGATTGGCATCGGTAACAAATCTCACCTTCTAAGCCTTGCTCACATTACATCTCATGGCGAAGGAAACCATGCCACGCTGATGTCACTTTCTTTGAAAACCTCAAGCAAAACTAGATCTTTTTGCTTCTCGAATGTCCTCTTCGCTAACCAAGCATTGAATTCCAAAAAGCCATCATGAAAAGTGTACCACAGGTCACGGTACGGTTGCACCTCGTCGGTCGGATAAGGATCGGCCATCCCCTAAGGCTTTCTACAGAAAGAAAAGATAAGACAAGACAAAGATTCAGATTAATGGAAGCACAAGAAATTTGCAGTATGCAACCCAAAAAAAAAGGGTGGGGGGCAGAAGAAGAGAAGAAAGAGGTAGAGAAACAAGGACCCATCATTTCCTTGGTTAGGAAAGAGATTTTGTCAAATTTGCACGCTGGATTAGCCTTCTTGGGAAGAATCTAGTCACTTTGTTAAGGAATCCAGAAATTTTATGAAAGAAGATGATGAAAATCGAGGATGCAGAAGAAAAAGAGAAGGGTTTAGCGGTTTTATGGAAAAGAAAGAAAGGGAAAACTGAAGGATTCACTAAGGAAAAAGGAGAATAGTAGAAAGGGAAATTAAGGGCAACATTAAGTGCACCGACCAATCATTCATCACTTGTTGCTCATCAACATGGTCAGCAATTATTAGGGAGACGGCAATTAAGGTGCACATTGTCTTGATGCATATGCATATATGCAATCTCCTTTAAAATCTCCCTTTTTTATGCGCCATCATAAAGGGATTTTTTGGGAAGGTTCAATTTCTTTATCTTTTTCAAAAAGGGAGTTACTTTTTCTTTCTAATTGCTGAAAACCTCCCTAGGGAATAGTTTTGGACTTCCCTTCATATCTAAACTATAGTGAACAGTATTTGAATAAAAAAAAAAAAGAGTCTACAATGACTGCTCAGAACGTATTATTTTCAAAGAAGAAAGACAGTGTAGCCCGTGCAAGAATCTTGGTGTGGATGCGGCCACAAGCTTGTTCACTAGACTCATATCTACAGTGGCCAGAATCACTACCGCCCAAAGTTTTACTTCAGCCTTGCTTGGATCACATCTGTGTTGAGACCCCGTCAACAACATTGAAGCCCACACCTTACTCATCAGTGGTAGCCAAGGTCATACTGGAATCACCTATGCTTATTACTGCTTTACACAACCGAGCTTAACACAACTTGGCCTTTGTCAACCATCAACAGCTTACCTGGTTGGAGCCAAGTCCTAGCAATCCTAAGTCCTCAAATCACATCTGCTTCGACAAGAGGGTCCACATTGATTATCTGACGTCTATATAGTCCAAGCATGCTCGTGGTCATATGGAGAATGCCGCGGTAATTTACCTCTCTCAACACCAAGCGGCCAAACTTGCTATCACAACTTTGTCCACTTGGGGGGCTAATGTTGAGGGATGAATTTGTATGGTTGTAAAACCAATGACGTGTGTGAATCCACATAAGTAAGGACCTATAATGCTCATTTCCCACATCGGACGTGTAGTTCCTATTTTCTACTAATTGCTACAATGGAATTAGCATCACCAAAAACGACACTCATGCACTTCGCTAGAGATATTGCAAAATGTAACCTACTCCAGCATCTATTTTCACATACATGGCTAGACACGGCTAAATCTATTTTGGTGACATGGTTGGGCATTTCATGATGGTCATTTCCTATGTAGCGATGTTCACTATTGTATCTTGTGGCTCCCAACAATGGATAAAGAGCCTACTTTACTACATGGCTCCTGTCAAAGGACAATGATCTGATCTGCATAGCTCCCCATGATGGGCAACGAGCCAAGCATCTATCTCTACATATCTCTATCATTGGTTCCCATCAATGGACAACGAGGTGATCCTATTACACCTACACAACCTCCAACGATGGATAAAGGGTCAGATTTACTATCTCATCTAGCCTCCAACAATGGGTAATAGGTTACACATCTCTACATATCTTATTACACCGGCTCCCGACAATGGACAAAGGGTCAATTTCTACATATTCTATCTCACTGGCTCCCGGAAACGGACAAAGAGTCAACATAGCTCGATACGATTAACATAAGGCTAGTAACAGTTGCAACCCTATGATTGGATGGGATGGCTACCCTCCAGCGATAAAATCCATCAAGTAGCAATCGGCGGTCCCTTCGTCGTATCCCGTGCATTGTGATGCGGTGCTCGACGGGCAACAACAACCAGGACCACCCTCTGATGGTGTAGGTATGGCAAGAAGGGGCAGCGTTTGTTAGTGGTATCACACCTTATTGTATTAGAGGCCATGGATGTGGCTGGCGTCCCCCTTCCATGGAGACAACTCCACCTTTCTCTATACATATTCATCATTATGGCAGAATCTAGTTTAATGAGATTTACCCCTTCGCGACTTGGCAGATTAGTGGGAGTGCTTTTTCGATTCCACATAGTTCACGCTTCAGCCATGGACAAAGTTAGCCATTGTTGTCCTTTTGGTTACGGGGAAGCTATGCATGGCTGACCCCATAATACATACATAACATGGTTAGAGATCATGCACATTGTCACTCTTCTACACAAAGGGACAAAATTACCAACTGTCGGTAATCTTGACTTATAACACATATTTTCTATGTCTTACATGTCAGCAAGTATCGCTGACCAGCGAAGCTTGACTCGAGACAACGATATCGCAGTACACATCCATACCACTTGTTCCTTATTTTGGTGCAACGCCAACCATGTACAACAGAAATATACTGATGCTAGCCATGGCCAGTAAGCAAATGAGAACAACAAATATTCATCCACATAGTCCCCTTCAACACACAAGGGAGTTTCCTTCTTCACTTCATATGCCTATATATTTCTTATTCTTAAATATTTGAACATATATTCATATGTGCCTTGCTGTTACTACAAATAAACACACGCCCATGAATCCAAGCTCATGGGAATTATTCAAGATAAACTATGGGAATAGTGGCTTAGTAGGCATGGATGGATAAACGCTGCCTGTTTGGCGAAGCAAGGCATCCGCACCAGCGAAGCTTGGCGTTGGTGATGCTGCCCAACTTTGCTAAAAAGGGGCTGGGTGGAGAAGACATGGAAATGAGCTTGATTCTCGAAACAGTATCGTTTGATGCTAACCTAAGGCTGGAAATCCCGCTAGAAACTAACCAGAGATGCTGTCTTGATCACCATCAGCAGCTTGCATCCATATTTAATGTAAAGGGGGTTGCACAAGTTCGATGGCCTTGAAAACTACTGTAAAAGATTACTATTTTCTTGTAGAATCTTCCAAAATCTTGTGCAGAGCTTGGGGAACTTACCAAATTCTGTGTAGATGTTGTTTTTGCCGACTGCACTCCAGCACCTCCCCAAAGATGGGATTTCGTATGGCTAGAGGCATTGCCAAAAATATATAATTTCTAGTTTTTTGCTAGAACCAACGAAGCTTCATTGGAACCGTTGGGCAATTCATGATGCCACTATTATAGAGCTGCCAACAGTGCTTAGAACCACTGAAAATTCGACAGCTCACCCCAACCTGTCTGCACACCTTTAAGCCATCAATGAAAAATTGCACCAATACCATTGCATATATATATATATATAAATTATTTGCCCTTCACATTCTAGAACACAGCTAGACGCATGCAGCAGAAAAATAGATTAACACACCTAACTCTAGCCCTTCTTCCTCACTCACCAAAACTCCCATTTTTCTTCTTAAAAAGACTCCACCTTTAACCTATGCCTTGCTCACTGAAACCATCCGGAAATCACCATTTTCTTAGATTTCTTGTGAATCCAGCTCTGCAGAACATTTCCTTGTACTGTAGAACATTTTACAACACTGTAGAATATCACCTAACACTGCAGAACATTTCCAAATCTACAAGATATTATGGCTGGGAAACAACAAACTGCAGTTCCATTTTCTAGGTAGTTCTTCTTGAGCATCAAACGATCGAGGTTGCAAGGTTAGCATAAAAAATAGGATTAAGTGCTCCATTCGTAAGCTCCCAAGTGTTCATCCTTCCTTCTCCCCTCACCATTCTTGAGTTTATCCTTCTGTCTTTGGAAGAGTTTCAAGAGTGGAGTTGCTACATTTTTCATTTCTGATATAAGGATTGTTCATTATAGAGTAAAGATATACACTAGAGATGAAAGAAGTCACATTTATTGTCATTATTATCATGTTACAATGATTTATGTATGAATGTGATCCTCAAGTTGTAATCTTTGAATCACATGTATTTTCCATCTTTGTTGTCCATCCATAACAACATACAACTTTCACCCATCATGTTTTTGATAGTTGTGTAATGATCTTGAATCTTTGGAATCTCGCCATTGCTACCTAACTCCACCGGCTTGGCTGAAAGATTTATCCTTTCAAAAGCTTCGTTGGAGGGTTCATTGCCATACATCATTGCTTAATAGAGTGGGATGGCCAATAGCATGTAGCCTTCCGCACGTGAGACAAGTGTCATCGAAAGAACCCCCCATTTTCTCAGGTGTTATCCTAGTCAACTTCCACATTATCACCAATGCTAACTCATCCATCTACATCACCAACACCCTCGAACAACCTTAAAACATGAGAAAATAAAAATTAATTTGTGAGAAATTCCAAATAAAAAAATGATAGTTATTTTCAGATAAAGAGAGTAATAAATTTTAACAAATGCTTATTACACACATTATCAATTTTTCGTATTGTGCTTTTTCAATAAAATTTTTCCTAATAAAGTTGGCTACATGCTAGACTAGCCTAAAAGGTAAGTACAAAACTTCAAGAGTAGCCATGTAAGGCTATTTTTGTCACTTAATATTTTATGAAATAGAAAATTTTATAAATATTATTTATTAATGCAAAAATAAAATAAAGAAAGTAAAGACACAAAGTTTACGTGAAAAACCTTAATAGGGAAGAAAAACCACAAGCAGAGAGTAGACTTTCACTAGGCCAAAACTAAGTAGACAAGTCTTAACCCTTTACAACTTCTTTATGTTAATATTTATACCATTGGATTTCCTATCTCTATTAAACTTAAGAAATCCAATTATTTGCTAATAACTCAATAGCCCATCAAACTTTGGGATTAAATCCAATTTGGCTCATATTGTATCTTAATGAGCCAAGATGCCCCGTTTCACACTACTCCCCTTCCATTCAACCTTACATAGCTAATGTTGAGCCCATTTGGAGTTTTATTGAGGCAAGATTCTTAGACACTGGCGCCAAGAGATTTCAAGCTTCTTATTTAGCCTCTTTGTCAATGTCAACATCTCTTTATTCTTTGACTAGTTTGATAAACCTCGTAACCTTACCTTTTGACAAGCTTATTATCTTGTAAAAGTTCCTTTTTGATTCTAAGTTTTCTTTTCTAAAAGTTTATTGATTTTCTTCTCCTTTATTTCAACCTTAATTCCTACAAAAATATAGATAAGCTTTATCAATTCTTTTTCTTAAGTAAAAATTTAAAACTATAATTACCTAACTAGATACCTAGAATAGCTAAGTATCTTTTCACTTCATCTTCCACAGTCTTTTCTTATCATTTACTCTCCACTAACTATCTTGTTTAACTCAAAGATCAGTCATTAACAAACTTCCATTCAATATCATGGGTAATTTGAGGAAGTGCAAAGGTTTTGCTTTTTCGTAGTACTTTTCAAATCAATCATGTCAATTTAATAACTTGTCATCCCTATGTGTCTACTTCTTAATAGTCTTTTGACACAAGCTTGAATTGTTACAACACTACTCCATAAATATGATTGAATCTTAAATGTCACTTAGTTTGTTATATAAAGGGTATTTCTTCTCCTTTCCCTTCTCATTTTTACAACTTTCAAATTTCAATTTCTCTCTTTACTTTCTCTACCTTCAAATTATCTTCATACTTTTTCCATTGCTATCTTTGTAGAGTTTCTCTAAGATGGCTAAATCTAGTATCCTAGTTGCTTCTGCCATATCCATTCCCTTTTTCGAGGTATAGATTTTGCAAATCTATTCACATTTTGGCTACCTCTTTTGCCTCTTTCTCTTCTTGCTTTTCTACTTCTACCATTGATGGTGGTAACAAATCTGCCTTAACAAAACCATTTATTATAAACAGGGCAAGGGGCAATGTTTGCGCCACTCCTCCAGATTTTAGCAAGTAGCTTTGGAGAGAGCAAGATAAATAAATTGATGGTTGATATCTCATCAAAAATACGTAACCTCAGCAATCTCCTAACTTTGGTTAGAGATTATCACATCCCCAAATCATCGCTAATGTGAACTACTTTTGTTGATGAGTGTGCTTGTATATATGCTTCCCAATAAAGGATGGTTTCCAATCTACAAGGACCATTTAGCCATAGGATTAAGATTTCCCATGCATGTATTTATAGTGCTTGTATTGGACTTATACAAGGAAGCACTTACTCAATTCCAACCCAACATCATGAAATGCATCATGGGCTTCATTGCCATGTGCTAAGAAAGGTAGTTTCCCCTTTTTACTACTGTTTTCAAGTCTTTCTACAAAACTTGTGCACTTAAGGGTGGATTTTTTCTTCGTTCCCGAAAGGGAGAACTTTCTTTTCTTACCAACTTCCCAAGCAAGGTCTCCAACTAAAGACTTCTTTACTTTTTTGTGAAGGATTCTAGCCTTAATGAAAGTTAAGTTCAACAATTGAAATGCTGAAAGTACCATAATAAGAAAAACTCCAATTATCTCAATCCTCTCAAAGAGGAAGTTATGGAGAGCCTCATTCTTCATGTCTTAACTTGAGTCGAGCCCTAAATAATCTACACAAATTGTCAAGTCTCAACAAGAACTTTAAACGATTTTTGGTAAGTATAACTATTGACAGCCATTTAAAATTCAAAATAAAATAAGGTTTGAAAATTAAGTGTAAAAATTATCAAAAAGGGGTCATGACTCATCCAAATTATAATATGGGACAACACCTAAATGGTCTATGCAAATATCGAGGTTTAGGGGTACAGTTAAGAGGGAAGAGCATACTTTAAAATTTGTGGGTTTATTTTAACTTATAAACATTTCTTTAAGTTAATGGCCTTAAATGAAACAAATCAAACATTCAAAATAAATATACAAAGTTGAAACAAATTAAAATTTATCAATCAATGTGCTAGGGTGTTTGTGAGGATTGAAACTTTTGGGCTTGATTGGATGAAATTTAGAATAAATATACAAAATTGAAACAAATTAAAATTTAGGGATTAAAGTGGACAAATTCAAAAACTTTTTGGATGAATTGTAAAACAAATTGAAGATTATGGACTTAATTGCTCAAATTTAAAAAGACGTGGGCTAAATTAAAAATTAAGAAACGCTGTCCATTGACCGGTTTGACCATGTCTTTGGATTAAAATTAATTATCAAGTCCAATTAATTAAATTAAATATCAATTAAAGTAATTAATTATGATTAATTAAATTAGTGATAAATAATTAACTTAATAATCATAAGGATCGGATCTATTAATAAATAAATACCATTTTAAATAAATTTCAAGATTTAATTTTTAAAACTAGCATTCAACGAAATTAATTTCTTTAAATATATAGGATCGATATAAAAGTGTACCTTTAAAATCATTTAAGATGGATTAATATTGAAATACCTAAAAACTGACTCAGGCAGAGTGGCTCACAAACACACTAGCACGTTGATTGACCCAGCCAAATCCTTTATGCATTATTTTTTTTACGAATCAACACTTTTAAAAATTTTTACTTTTTCTTTTATAATTTAGAACTTATGAAAAACCTAAAAATTAATAGTTAAACATCTTATTTGCACTCAAATTTTATTTGTAATTTAAGATTTTTTTACAAATTTTAAATTATAGAAATTATTGACTAAAAGTAAAAATTATGAAGGTTATTGAGCATAAAAAAAAGTGTATAAAGTGCAAGTAGAGAATTTAACATTAATTTTAATAATTAATTAATTAAATTAACATATGTGATATTAATATTAAAAATAATATTATTTTTTTTAATTTTTTATATAACTTAATAAGTAAAAGTATATTAATTATATCCTTAATCAATGTATTAAAAACACAAATTATAAGGAAACAAGGTAGAAAAATAAAAGTGCTTCAGCGCTGACAACAATTATTGACTATAAAGTATAAACCAAGGTTTTTAAAATCGGATCGGACCGGTCAGTCGAACCGGTCAGATCGGTACCTAATAATGAAAATGGCTCGGTTCATATAAAAAAACCGTTTGAGGTCAAAATCGGTCAAAATCAGTCAAAACCGGTTAAAAACCGTTTAAAACCGGTCAAAATCGTTTAAAACCAGTCAAAACCGATGAAACCGGTAGAACTGAAAAAACCACCGGTTCAATTTCTCATGCAATTTTCTTTTTAATTTTTCTAATTTCACCCTCACTATTCTTTTCTTATATTGATTTTAACCCTTAATTTTAATGAAATTACAAAATTACCTATCCTTTTCATCAAATTTCCTTTGTTATTTGAACCGACCGATTCATCGATTGAATCGATTGAACCAGTCAAATCAAAAACCAAACCTGAAAACGGTTCAATAACCGGTCCAATTTTAAAAACCTTGGTATAAACATGCTAATCTCTTCCGTCACTTTCCTATCATGGAGTTAGTCAAATTAAACTAATCATTGAGAGATAGACTCTTTTCTTGGGTGGCGTTATTGCCACAGCTTCACAGGTTAACACCACAGCTTTTTTAATTAATTGACCATTAATCCACACGGAGAAGGTGGTGACTGCTGCAAGTTGGATTCAAATGAGGGGTATAATAGTCAAATAATTAAAAAAGGCTGTGGTATTAACACCCACCCCTTTTCTTAACATATATATA